ACTGGAATTACAGCATGCACCACCATACCTGGTTCCAAAGTTAAGTTTTGAGCCAAGAGCTTCTGAGACTTTGGAACTTTATTACTTGAAAGTACTCAGCCCTCAATAAATATCTGACATGTTAGAAAAAACCCAATCAGGCAGGTGCCATTATTTTCATTTTATAATTGAGGAAATAGGACCTATATAACCTTTCCTTACTATCTTATGTAATTGTAGAAGGGTCAAGTAACTTGCCCACATAAGTGTACATCTGGCACTAAAATTCAGTGCTTTCTCTGACTCTAGAGCTCACTCTGTATTACGCTCCAGAGAACTAAGTTACTTCCACTGAAACAAAAAACAAAACTAATACATTTTATCACCCATCCAATTTAAATAGCAGTTTAAAGATATACCACATGATCGTCTAGTTGACTTCTTAAATCTGGTTTTGCTTTAAGGATCTCAGACACAAGATACAGAGCTCCACATATGAATGGCGGCATCTGTGTACAAGTAACTTGAAGCAACCTCTTCACAAAAGCTTTCACCCGGCGCAAGACGATGTCTGCTTTCAGAGATTTGTAGACAAGGTTAAGAAACATAGCTTGCTTGGAACACATCATCAACCCTGGATCCAACATCTTTCTGTCAAATAAAATAAAGATCAAATACTTGTTTATAGAAACATCTCAATAACCAATAGTCTCAAGTATTTACAACATTGTTCAAAATATCGTGCTTCAATGGATGAGTTATAGAATAAGCTGCTCAGTATAGTAAGTAAATCTTTCTCCTAGTTCCTCTGAGGGAGGGACTCCACTGTGCCATGGCCTGAGCATGTGAAGAATGTGGAAAATGAGCAGAACGAGGAGCATGTGTAAGCACTCAGAAAATACTTGCTGGGGCCAGGGATTTAGCTCATGGTCCCGCCACCTGCCTCACAACTGCAAGGGCCCAAGTTTGATTCCCAGTACCGGAAAAAAAACAAACAAAAAAACAAGAAACCAAGACACCAAAAACTTGCTGAAGCCAATGCCATGGCAGCTGCCTGGAATCCCAGCCCTCTGAGAGGCTGAGGCATTAAGATTACAAGTTTGAGCCATCCTAGGCAATTTACTGAGACCCTGTCTCCAAATAAAAACTGAAGAGGGCTAGGGATATATGACGGCTCTAAATTTAATCCACAGTACTGGAAAGAAAACAAACAGAAAACATCTCCCCAAAACAGGACCTCACTGGGGCTGGGGATTTAGCTTAGTGGAAAGCAACAACAAAAAAACAGGACCTCACTGATCAAATTACTGGACAGGTGTGAGGAGACAGCACTGAAGATAAGGGAAGAAGGAAAGTTCAATTATACTAGTGGCTTATTTCCTTAATGTCCCAAGATTTAAGACAAACGTAGCAAAGTTAATTTTAAAGTAGTGGTGGTATGGGACTTACTCAAAGTTGGGGAGTGGCAAGCTGCTGAGAAAGGCCTGAAGTCCAGATCTGTGAGTTTTTCTGTCCAGCACCTGGACACTGCATGAGTGCTAGATCAAGTTATTACTCACACAGCAGAATGCTAGGTACTCACCTGTATAATGCTGAATAATATCGATCTGATATCGTCTGCTGAGAATTCATTACTTGGAAAAGCAACATCAAAGCCTGAACACTAGTATTAAAATTTACAACATGCAACACTTTGAACAACGTGTCCACCTGCTCCCTCACTTTGTCATCCCCACTCTGAGAGTAAGGGTATGCCCTGTTCACGCCTGTTAAAAGGGCACTAAGCATTTTGGACTCAATATCTTTTTTCTTGATACAAGTCCGAAAAAAACAAAAATAGATAGTTATTAACTTGTTAGCCAGTTCACTTTCTTCATGGGAAAGGGCTATTTGATTGAAAAAGCAAACTGCATAATATTGAGCCTTGGGGCTGATATTTGAGCGAAAGAGTAGCCTTTCTATTTCGCCACATACAACTCCTTTCATATTTGGATGTTTACAAAGTAATGTCTCTAACAGATGGGAGGCTTTGGAGGCTATTCTGTTCTGAGGATCTCCTAGTTTATTTACCACCTGCACAAGAAGAGCCTTTTCTTCCTCAGGCTTGTTGCAGAGGAGCTCATGAGCTGCTAAGAGGGCCCGAGTTTTACTGGCTACCAAAGAATCATGACTTAAAGTTTCTAAGACCTGCACAAATTCAGCTACTAAGTGTTTCAGGTGGTGTTCAAAATACCATAATATTAGCCTTCTATCTCTCGAGTCCTTGTTGCCACTGGACAACTGTTCCAGTTTGTTGAAAGGATGTTGGCTGAAAACTCGCAGCTTCCGATTATCTGGTAAAAGGTCCGTAATGAGTAACTCTTTGAAAGTGTCCAAAGCCACAAGGCACTGCTGCTTGCTGCCCTTCTTTTTAACAAGGTTCAGGAGTGTTTCTACAAACTGGAGTGTGTGAACAGCATCATCTTGGATAAGAAGAATCATGGCTGCCATCCTGTCACCTAGTGTCCCTGATGATACAATCGCCTTCATCCATGTAGAAGAGGCTCCCTTTTGTTTATTTGTTTTATTTTTGAATAAGTTGATTTCACATTCATATAGCTTCTGAGCCAGGGTTTTATACTTAGACACAACATCCTGAGGCTGGGGTTCCAAACAATATTCATTGGTATGGTCCCGATCATACCATTTGCCTCCAGGCTTGAGCAACAAAGTCTCTCTCTCAAAAAATTCAAAGACATCCTGTTGTTTATCTTTTTTTACTTTTGGTATTACACTGCTGTTCTTCTCAGAACTGCTGTTCTTCTTCAGTTTTTCTGGCATATCCTTATTTTTTACCTTACTGGTCAGCGTCCTTTCACTTTCTGCTGCATTTTGCTTTTTATTATCTACTTTAGATATTTTTGCTTCTTTTTTGCTGGCATTTTCTTTTTTAGCTGGTTCATCTTCCTCAACGAAAGATTTTGCATATTTTGCCAAGCTAAGGCTTTGAATAAATGCTTTCAGTTCACCTTCTTGAAGGTCATCAATTGTTCCTTTTTTGCCTCCATCCACCACTTCCTCATTCTCATCCAAAGCAGCCAGCATGAGGTAATCTTGCTGTTTGAAAATAACAGACAGGTTAAAAGTAAATTACAAATATAACACTTTGGTTAAAACTTCATCTGTGAACTCAGAGGAGCTGAATTATTACGGTATTACCCGGCCTACCAAGTAAACATTTGATTAATAAAAGATTTAAATATGAAAAATAAAACCATAAAAAAGAATTACAGGAGCGGGTGAAGGGAGGGCAGGGACAAGGGGAAAAAATGAGAACCTAGACTTGTCATGTAGAGGTACAAGATCCCAACAATGAATGTAACTGTACTGTATCCCTAAAATGTACCAATAAACTCAATTAAAGCTGAAAAAAAAAAAAAAAGAATTACAATACAACCAAAAATTTTTTTTCAGAATAGGGAAAACCTTTTCTAATTTCACATAAAACCCAGAGACCAAAGGACAGGATCACTAAATTCATCATTCTCTCAAACATAAAACAGGAAAAATCAAGCAATAAACTGCATTACTTAAAATAGCAGAACACCAGCAACAAGATAAGTAGCCACAGTAAATGGCCAGGTAGACAAATCAGATGCAATGATTTATGCAGTTAGGCAACATAATACAGAAGGATTTCTATAACAAGAAATATGTAAAATATATGATCCCGACTGTGTAAAAAATAGCATGTATGTATTTCAAGTGTATATGTATTTGCATGGTGAGGTACGGAACATCCCTGAAAAATAAAATACACTTGTAAAAATAACTGCTTCCTAGAAGGGAAACTGCATGACAGAAAATAAAAGTGGGAACTATTTTCAAGTACCCCACACTTCCAATGACCTTTTAAAACTTGTTTAGGTTGTTAAAGCTTGTTTATATGTATGTTTTTACTCAAAACGTAAATATAATCTAAGTATAGAGCACACTGTGAATCTGCCTGTGCAGGCTGCATCTCCATTGCTCTAACTCCCACAAAGTCTGGTCTCAAAGACTATTTCTAAAAATAACGGAAATCTTGTCATATATTTGCCTGAAATCTTCCAGTGGTTCTGCATTAAGGAGAAGCATGAACCTCATTTCTTACTCTCTCCTTCACTCTGCCTCAACTACCATGGCATCTCTGCGATTTATGGTAGTTAGGTCTAAGTTTGCAGTGCTGTTTTCGGATTGGGTTAGCACTGCTCACACCCCTCCTACGGGTTTTTGCTCAAATACTTTTGCAGTGTTGTTTTCCCTCATCTCGTCACCCAAACTGTAACGACCTTCGTCACCGTATCCTCCTTATTAGTCTCTCCACTACTACTTGCGCCTGAAGTACTATCTAAAAATTCTGTTTACTGTTTCTCTGAGGATGTTCAGTCCATGAAAGAGCGCTTCCAGAACACACAAGTAAGTATGAGCAAATGCCCAGTGAGAACAGTAGTTTTTTAACATCACTGGCATTCAAAACATTGGAGCCACGAGGTCAGGATCAAGAAATCACTTTTCCCCAACGGAGTGCGATGGTCACGCCACGTTAATGAGAAGATCGCTTACATCCTAAGGAAGGCCACAGCATAAAACGTTCAATACTAGCTTTTTCTTTTGCAAAGAGCAGAGGAAAAAGTGCGGCAGGCGCTGCGAGAACATTCCGAGGAGGGGTTGTGAGTCCAGGACGCTCATCCCCTAGGCGGGAGGAGCGCGCCACCTGCCACCCGCACCTCGCCCTTGTTCCCCTTCCCTGGGGAGCCTGTGGCCGTTACCTTGGTGCCTCCGAGCCGTAACACTTCCTCCAGGGAGAAGCCATTCTCGGCTTCACCGCTGTCATCCTCGTCTTCCCCATCCGAATCTTCTAGCACCTCTTTTCCGGGCCAGGGCCGCTTGGCGTGGAATTCCAAAGGTTCCTTGGAGGCCGCCATAGCTCGCACCTCACGCCCGCAAGGCACAGCTCACTTCCGCTTGCGGCGTGACGCACTTCCTCTGTGCGAGACGTAACCCGGAAGTGGTTGCATTCACCTTGCCCGGGGCAGTGTTCAGCCACTGTCCCCGCTTGGTATGGGTGTTCTGGTGCGTTCTGCTGCCCGGCAGCTGTGCTGCGCGGCTCGCGCGGGTAAGGGTGTTCCCGGTAGAACCCAGTTGTCGTGGAAAACGCCTGGATCACCTCTACAGTTTCCCGGTTTGGGGTTCTTGGGAACTCGGGGCTCGCTTCCAGCCTGAGGCGCTCTCGGATTAGTGGTCGTGGGCAAAGTGCGTTACTTCTCTCGCTTCGTGGGTGATTTGCTCGCGTCTGTCCGCCTTCTAGGCTTGGGGCGAAGTTAGGGATGAACAAAGCTGCCTGGAAAGCGCTTAGACCACTTGCACGTGTAAATACTCAGATTTATAATGGGGCTTGCTGAATCTGTATTTTTCAGTCATTCCTTGTACTTGGAGAGGGAAATACTTCAGCTCCGGGAACGATGAGCCGCCAGAAAACAACCGGGTGACGCCTATGCTGCGGCATCTTATGTATAAAATAAAGTCTACCGGCCCCATCACTGTGGCCGAGTACATGAAGGAGGTGTTGACCAACCCCGCCAAGGTAGGGGTCTGGGATCCTGCGAACTCCATTCAGCAAATTTGCGAGGTGCAAGCTTCGAGGGCTGTGCGCGTAGGGAGAGGCCCGAAGCTCTTCTAGGGCAACCTAGGGACACATAGTTGAATCTGTCTGTAGGTCGCGGCTAGTGAAGGTAGAGGACAAATTCCCAGGGCGTTTAGGAGGAATGTAACTTCCCTTCGAGGGAAGGATGACTTTCCTACCTGGCCTGATGGTGGGGTCGTTGTGCTGGGAGAAGGGCATGTAGGAAAGGGAAGAGCAGAGCCCTTTTAGGAGGCAGGGGAGGGATGAAGAGTTACATTTCAAGTGTACACGGGATTCTTGGGTATGGAAGTCGCCAGTAGGCAATTGGAAATAAAAGTTCGTTGCTTGGAAAGTTGCCTGTCAGTAACTTCAGTGGGCGTTGAAAGCATGTTCAGGGTTTCTGCGATTGGTTTGGCCTGTTCCTGTCGGATGTGGTGAAGTGACTTGAGTGTCCAGAGGATTCCTAAAGGTAGCGGTATTTTAATGTTTGCAGTAAGATAGATGGCTTAAAGCAGTGCAGGATAGAAATAAGGTGAGAAATGGGTGCTTTAGAAATAGATCTTTGTGGAGAGTTTCTTTTTTTTTTGGATACTGGGGACCGAACTCAGGACCTTGCCCTTGCGAAGCAGGTGGCAGAACCACTGAGCTAAAATCCCCAGCCTGAGAAATAGATCTTGGACTCACTGGATTTGTTGATAGTTAAGTAGAAAGGTGAAGGAGAGTAAATCAAAACTGATTCCCAGATTTTTAGCTTGAGCAGTTGAGTGAAGGTTGTGCTTTCTAATGAGACAGGATGGCTAGAGCCAGATTTGAAGGAGTTCTGGGAAAGGGGTCTACATCGGGATGTCAGTGATGTTCAGGTGCAGGTAGTAAGGAGGCAGGTTGCTGTAGGTGTCTGAAGTTTAGAAGCAGATTGGGTATGCATATATAAATTTCGTTGTCATCAGTGCACAGATGGTGATTAAGGCCACGGAACCAGCAAGAGTGTACAAAGAGGAAGGAATTTTCCCAGCATTAAGACTTGGGGTAACTCCAACATTTAGTATGAGTTTCCTCACCTAACGACCCCTGAATAGAAAGCGGAGGGTTTGTGAACTTGAACTGAAAAAAATTACTCCTTTATTTTCATCAACTTATAACTGAAATTAAGCATTTCTTTAATTATGAACATAGGCAACAACTAAGAATGTGGGTAATACTATTGTTCCCTTCCCTTGGTGGTACTGGGGATTGGACCAAGTGTTTTCACACTGAGCTGCATTAGTGAACTTTAATAATTTTTGAGACAGTGTCTCACTAAGTTACTAACTTGCCCAAGTTGTACTTGAACTTTTCTATCCTCCTGTTTTAGCCTTCCAGATTGCTGGGATTATAGGTATGTGACACCACGCCTAGCTAATACTTTGTTATCAGTGGAGATAACTGATATTGTCTTTATCATAGTACAGTGATTACTGGAATCTCAAAATACTGTTGTGTTCATCCTTCAAAACATAATTATAAGTATCTGGCTTGATTTTGTGTTTTAATATACTAGAAAAGACATTTTAAAAACACTTGGTAAGTATTTTTCCATTGATTTCTTCTGTAATTCTGTATGTTTAAAGTTCTGTGCATTTAAGCCAGAACGCTGACACACACGTATAAGCCCAGCACACTGGGAGGCTGAGGCAGGAGGATTGCAACTTCACATCCAGCCTGGGCAACTTTGCAACTTAGGGAAATCCTGTCTCAAAATTTAAAAATAAAAATGGGCTAGGGATGTACCTTAGTATGAAGGCCATGGATTCAGTCCTCAGTCTTGAAAAAAGTTTATGCATTTAAATAATTCTGTGAATATGCTGTAGGCTTCACTATCCTAGCAGAGTGGTTCAACAGCCTGCATACGAAGTGAAGTCTCACACCCCCTAGAAAGGCAATGTTATGTATAGTGAAAAAAAAGTTCTGTCTAAAGGTGTGAGTGAGTTTTTTTCTAATGCCAAAAGGGAAAAGGTGAAGCTGTAAGACACGGGATGATTGAAAGAGCCTGCAGGTGTTGGATACAGAATGGCAATCCACAGTATTAAACTTGGCTAAGAGAGGGGAGAGCATTTATCCTTTGCTTCCCAGAGAGAGGGGAGCCATAGGAAGCCAGGCAAGGAAGTGTATTGAATAACGTGTTCTTGCACAGGGCAGGAGCATAGGGCTACCCTCTAAATGTGAGGTGGTAGAGTAAGGTATTTGAAAAGCAGAGGGAAGTTTGCTTGTAACAGGAAATTCTTTCTTGAAATTTACGTATTATGTTAGAACTTGGAAAATGAAAATAAATAAGACAGTCCTCTTCCTCAGATAAATACTGCTTCTTGTGAAGAACACAGATGTAGAAATAGGCTCAGAAGAGGAAGCACAAGGTTTAGTCTTAGGTCGGAGGGCTGAGCAAGAGGTCATCAAAGGTGGCTTGTGAGCAGACTCAAAGAATGAGTGTAAGTGCAAGCAAGATATGAAAAAGGAGAATTTGCAGTAGCTTAGATGTGTAGACATCAGGGCTGATTTATAAAAGAGCCCACCTTTTTATTGAGATACAATGTTCAGATAGAAAAGTGCATAAATCACAGGTGTACAGTTCGGCGCATTTTCTGAGTGAACACTCCCATGTAATCACTCCCATGTAATCTGCCCCAGGGTTAGAAACAGAACATTAGCTAGGCCTGGTGTGCTCCGGAGGCTTAGGCAGGAGGATCTTGAGTTCAAGGCCAGCCTGGGCAACATAGTGAGACCCCATCTCAGAAAACAACAAAAGAAATAGAACATCAGCAGGCTGACTAATTTCGGAGAGGAGGCCGAAGGGCCAGCAGGGTCTTTGGCTGGATTGTGAGCAGGAAGGGGAAGAAGGGCAGAGATGGCCATTGGGTGGCTCCTGGCTCTGTAACTGTCTTTCCTCTCAGTTTGGTAACCTGACTCCTATTTTGTAAAAGAAGTAAAGACGTTGTGTCTTGCTCATTTAGAGATGAGAACTTTCATACCAAATATTTCATTGTGTATGTTATGTAAGATTTTGGAGAAGTGTTTTAAAAAAACCTTACTTGAAAATTAATTTTTCTTCATTTTTTTCCCCCTTTTTCTCAGGGATATTACGTGCACCGTGATATGCTGGGAGAAAAAGGAGATTTCATTACTTCACCTGAAATAAGCCAGATCTTTGGGGAGGTAACGTCCTATGTATGTAAACTATGAAAGACAGCAACGTCATAAATTTTTGAGAGCAGATCAATCTGTATTAGTCTGTAATAGTGTTTTGTTTTGGTACCAGGAATTGAACTGGGAACCTTGTGCTTGCAAGGCAGTCAGGCAGGTGGGGACACCACTGAGCTAAATCCCTGGCCCTATAATAGTGTTTTACAGGGATTTTTTTTGTTGTTGTTATTCATCACAAGTTTTAATTTTTTAAGCCAGGCAAGGTAGCTCACACCTGTAATTCCAGCACTCTGGAGGCTGAGGCAGGAGGGTTGCTGTGAGTTCAAGACCAGCTTGGGCTACACAGTGAGTTCTAGGTCATTCTCAACTACATAGTGAGACCCTGTCTCAAAAAACCAAAAAAAAAAAAAAAAAAAAAAAGTTTTAATTTTTTAGAGGGAATAGAGAGGAAACAGAAAAGTAGTAGAGAGGACATTTGAAAAATTTATACTTGACTGCAGAGAAGGAAGTGGATGATAAGAGGGATAAAGAGAAGAAGGGAGATTGAAGCCAACAGATCGGAAAAGAGGAGAACCAGATGAAATTGAGAATGAAAGAAAAGAGGGAGAAAAGATAAAAAGAACTGTGAAGAATTAGTTGAATCAAGATGAGCTTTAAAGCTCCCAGCCATGATTTAACCATAGCTATAGTAGAAGTCTCCCTTTAAGGAACAGAATTTTAGTTATTTCCATATAAGTACCTTGGATGATGTAGAAATAGGAAATTGTACACAAGAGAAAGTAGAATCCAGGTAATGAAAAATACTAATTACATCTAAGAATCATGTAATTATTTAAATTGTGAGCATGAAGAAATGCCATAGGCACATTCCATATTTCTATTTATTTTCAAATACTAGAGCATATCTGTAAGTGATATCCTCTTATCTGTACTTTGAGGCTTTTTATTGCAGTGGCAAGAGATCTAAGATGTCTCATTTTGGTCTTTCCCTGGTCTTAGGTAGTTTCTCAGTGCTCAGCCAAAGACTACATTGCCCTGTGATATAAAAATCTTCACAGTACAGATAAAAAGATAAAACTATTTTCTCCTGTTACTAAGCTTCCTTCATGGTGTATGTTGTGATATTGTCCTAGTGAAGTTCTTCTGTATGTGTATGTATTATGTATACATTAAATAATATACATGTAGTTATTTGCAATAGTTTATGGCATAAAGTATGTACTTATGGGATTTTATATTATGGTATACTTTTGTACTTTATATTACTTTATTGTATTTTTCTTTGCCTAGCTGTTAGGGATATGGTTCATTAGCGAGTGGATGGCCGCTGGGAAAAATGCAGCTTTCCAGCTGGTGGAACTGGGCCCGGGTCGGGGCACCCTCATGGGAGACATTTTGAGGGTAGGTAATAAAAGAACATCTTTAAATGTCATGTTGATTAGTCCTATTTTGAGTTTGATAACTTCATTGAGTTTTTGGCTTTCAGTTCTGCCTCCTCCATCTTAGTTTCTCAGCTAAAATAGAATGTTAGAACAATACAATGGATAATTTCTCATTATTGTTTAAAAGCTTAAAACTGTGTGTGTGCATGTGAATGTGTATATGTGTAGAGAATGTAAAAGCTAAATATTGTTGTTTAGAAGACATAGGAGAATATATTTGTCATCTTAGTAGGTGAAGTTTTTATTTATATTGAAGCAGAAGCCATAAAGGAAAAGATTAAAAATGTAATTTCAAGAAAATAAAATTAGGAACTTTCTGTTCTTTATACAAATTATGAAATTTTTGTTGTCAAAGACACAATGGAATGATATAAGCCACAGGGTGGGAGAATTTACGTATAGCCAACAACAGTAGAACTTTAAATCAATGAGAAGGTAACAAATAATAGAAAAATCAAGCTAAAGTTGTGAACAGGCCCCTCATAAAAGAAAATCCAAATGGCTAATGAAAACAAAATAATGCGACTTTCTCATAGAGAAGTGGGAATTACAATCACTGTGAGATAGCACTATAACCCTGTCAGACTGGAAAAAATAGAAGGTCTGACATCTCTAAGTGTTGGTGAGGATGGGGGTATGTGGAGCAGTGGGAGCTCTTATATACTACTGGAGCACGTGTGATTTGGTACAGCCACTTTGAGAAGCTCTTGGGCATTATCTGTTAAGTATAAAGTTACTTATATTGTACAGATCTTCAGTTTTACTGCTACTTATACAAACTAGTATGTAGTGTACCAGGAGTCATGTATAAGAAGGTAGCATTGTTGAGGAAGCAAAAAAAAACCAAAACCCAAACCCCAAAAACAAAAACGGAAATGACCCAAATTACTATCATTGGGAAAATGAATCAGAAAATTGCGGTACAGCCATCCACCATCCAGTAGGATACCAAGTGCTCTAAGAATGCTTGAAGCCAGCAGAATGCAGCAGTATTCAACATGAAGCAAGATATTTAGTAAAAATAGCAATTGCAAAAGAATTTTTATGAAATTTTATAAATTTAAGAAATTTAAAGCCAGCAGAAAGCAAGATATATTTCATAAATATATTTAGTAAGATTCACAAGGAAAAGTCATGAAGTGGTTAATTCGGAATTCATAATGGCAGTGCCTTCTGAACTGGGGAGGACGCAGGGGCTACAGAGGTCATGTCCCATTTCAGTGAGCAGATGGTGGACATTTTCTTCTGTCTATTTCTATCATTCAATCTAATTCTTCATGAAAACATTTAAAAGGAGCACTATTAGTTCCTGCTAAGTAGTACTGCTTATTACTCTTCTGCAGTCTTTACTATCTGGCACCTATTGGTCATTTTATTTTGTATGTACCTGGCGATTCTTTGTAAAAACACAAAAATGTTCTTTTTTTGTTTTCTTTGTAGTGCTCAGCTTTGAAACCAGGGCCTTGCTCATGCTAGGCAAATGCTCTACCACTGAGCTACATCCCTGGACCATATTTAAATTTCTTGATGCTCTGTGACTTTTGCTTCATATTGGGAATTGAAAGGTTTTTTTGTTTTGTTTTTGACAATTTATAAGCATAAGAATCCTGACTGTACTTGTGAAAAAAAGAAAAAAAAATCACTGATTAAGTTCTCAGGTCTCTATTTTATATTTCTTTAAAGTGGCAAAGCCACCTGAATTTAAATTATTTTTACACATTCTTGAAATAAAATTTTCTTTTGTTTTTGTTTTTTTTTTTTTGGTCCTGGGGATTGAACTCTGATCCTTGTGCTTGGGAGACAGGCAGCTAAATCTCTGGCCCAAAATAATACTTTCTTATTCAGGTACTTGAATGGAAGCCCATGGCCTTTAAGATGTCTCTAGATTTCGATCAAGTCGCAAGAACTCTTACAGTCTCAAAGAATTTAAAGACAAACAAAATTTCTAAAACAGGTATTATGGACCTGTTTTTTAAGTGAGCTTATTTTTGAAAGGTTTTTTGCTTGGGAAATTTTTCCATGTATAGTTTAATTTCCAGTCTAAGTTTGGACATCTTGCTAAATTTTTTGGTCTAAATCTGCACATTTGTATCTCAAATATAGGCAAACCACTATAGAAATTCAGATGAAATATATTGATACTTTTTATGCTTTTGAACTTTTAGCATTCAAAGACTGATACATTATTAATGTTTTCATATCTTCCTTGTAAGTTTACAACAGTAAAACAAAAACAACTGTTGTATAGCTAAGAAAAATTGAAAATCTGATTGAGTTCCAGAGGTAAGCTGCCAGGTTACTAGTGCCATTCAAATTTAATTCCCTTAGGACACAGTTTAATCATCTGAAATGTAAGATTATTTCATACATTCATACATATTTCATTTTTTAAAAAGGCCACATAGATTTGATTTCCTTGGTCTTTTTTTTAGACTTTATACTCTGAAATTGTTTTTATGGAATGTTAAATATTTTATTTTCATCTGTTAATCATAATTTATCATTAGGCAACCAAATTGTACACTGTTTATGTGTTAGTGATGGCGAACCTTTCAGAGCTTTCAGTAATACAAACAACCCTCTGTGGCACACGTGCCATAGGTTCACCACCATGTTTTAGATGATGCTAAGTAAGTCTAATTGTTTTTTTTGTTTTTTTTTTTTTTTTTTGTTACTGGGGATTGAACTCAGGACCTTTCACTTGTGAGGTAGGTGTGGTGCCACTTAGCTAAGTCCCTGGTCTCTATTGGTTATGATTCTTAAAGACTACTTGGATCAGGAGCAAATCTTAGCAAATATTACTTGTGATTTGACTGAATTAAGGTAGTAAATGCTTAGAAAAACTAACATCTATTTAATACATTACATTTTGCCCATCATTTTTTTCTTTTTGTATGTAGGTGTTCAGTCAGCTTGGATCTGTGCTAAAAAACTGTGATGTTTCCGTACACCTTGTAGAGGTGAGCCAGGCCTTAAGTGAGCTCCAAGCATTGACACTGACTGAAGCAAAGATCCCAGTAGAGCAAAATGCTGAATCCCTAGTGTATATGAAAGGTGTTACTAAGTCTGGGTTCCCAATATCCTGGTACCGAGATCTACAGGATGTTCCAAAAGGTAAGTACTTCACATTGGTTAATCAAAGAATTTTAATTACAACCTCATAGTAGTGATCATTGACCATAACTTTTTACAGCAATTTAATATTGCTACCAAGTGTTCCTTTTCCTTAGAGAACAGCTTTTTTTTTTTTTTCCTAGAAAAGATCATTGTAAGTACAGTTTTGTAACATTAAGGACCAGTGTATTTAAAGTAGTTTTATTAAATAAATATATAGCAAAAAAAACAAAAAACAAAAAACAAAACCAAAAGCCAAAATGTACATTTCCACCGTACCTTTTAGTATTTCCCTATAGTAAGGATTGTACTGATGACGAAGCAGCCCACAGCAGCAGGGGCTAAAGAAAGCAGTGTTAATAGAGGGATCCAGTTATTTAATCTTCTTGAAAATGATCACTTACGTAAGATGGTGGTAAAATCCCTCTACTGCTGTCAAGAATCTTTGAGGAATAAGGCTCAAACCTAAGTGGGGGAAGAATGTTGGCTCAGCTCTGTCAGAGGATTTTATAAAATTCAGGTTACCTTCAGAATGGGAGTTAACAAATGTGTGTAATTTCCTTCAGGTTGAGTGGTGGTTAGATTTAACTGGTAATTCAGGCATAGCATTTCTCTGACTCTGTTACTTAGAAAGTGGGACTAGGAATAATAATTCCTTCATATGTTCTGCAGAGATGATTATGGAAGCGTCCCAGTTTCCAGTACTGAACAGTTAGACATTTTATTTTTTATAGTTAATGTTTTACAGACTTAATTGCCTTGAAATGCTGAACCATTAATTTTTTTCTTCTATTTTTAAATAGGATGCAGCTTTTTTCTTGCACATGAATTTTTTGATGTTCTTCCTGTGCATAAGTTTCAGGTATTGTTGGAAAAAGTCATGTTTATAGTGCAATAACAGAAGGTCTCATGTTGCAAGGATGAACACGTGCAGTACTTACTCAGTTTATAAGCATTACTTGTTGAGTGACTTTTAACTGTTATTTGAAGTTTGGTGAACAAAAGTAATTGAAAAGCAAAATTAAATATTAACTGGAATTTTAGTGTTCTTGGAGTAAATTTTTTTTGGTGGTACTGGGGATCACTTAGGACTTTGTGCTTGCCAGGCAGGTGCAGCACCACCGAACTAGATCCATGCCCCTAAATACCACCCCCCTTATTGAGGATCAAACTCAGGACCTAGTGCTTGCCAGGCAGGCACAGTGCCTCTGAGCAAAATCTCCAGCTCTCTTGGAGTAACTGTTAAGAATTCTTAACTCTTTTGTGAAGAGAGTCACTGAATTTTGATGCAGATTGCACTGAACTGCTTTTGTCAAATTAGTAGTTTCCCCCTCTTCCCCCACACTGAGGTTTGAACTCAGGACTTTCTGCTTGCCAGGCATCTGATTATTCCCCCAGAGTTTGTTTTCCATTTTGGGGCACTTTGCACACCGCTTTTTTTTCCCACCTTCTACAGCCCATTATGTATTGCTTCTTCCTTACAGTATTTTTTTTTTTTTTTTTTGTACTGGGGATTGAATTCAGGACCTTGCTCTTGCAAGGCAGGCAGTGGAACCACTGAGCTAAATCCCCGGCCCCTTCCTTACAGTATTAATAGTTTGCATATATAAGTTTATTCATACTCTTTCTCTACTGAAATTATTTAGAGTTCTGTAAATGTTATGTACAAAGAAAAAGCTAATAGAATTTTTTAAAAAAGCTAATAGAATTTTTGATGAAGGCAATTATGACAACTTGCAACAATTTTTTTCATGTTATTTTGTTTAGAAAACACCCCAAGGATGGAGAGAAGTACTCATTGATATTGATCCACAAGTTTCTGATAAACTGAGGTTTATTTTGGCACCTTGTGTCACCCCGGCAGAAGCCTTGCTACAAGTAGGAATACTGTTTTTTCTAAATTTCTCTCTTTGCTAACAGAGCATTCAAACTTTTGTTTTCTGAGTTACTGAGTTCCTTTAACAGAGGAATTGTTAGCCACATTCAGGGTGCTTTTGTTGGCAGTGAAAGTGTAGAGGATCAAATTTGAAGGAATAGGTTAAACTCATTTAAGTCTCTCACCTTAATGTAATGATAACACTATTAAGCACTTAACCAAGTCCTCACCTACTTTTTAAATCTGTTGCTCAACTATCAAATGATGAAGATATTGTCAGCCTTACAGGTAAGTGCTTATGAAGGCACTATTGCACTGACGATACTACAGTTACAATGCAAGCTCACATTTATTGAACACTTTCTATATATTACTCTACCTCATTTCACCTGAGTGTCAAGTTGTTTTATAAAGCTTCCCCCACCCCGAGTTGATATAGTTCTTGACTTGATTAGCATTCACACACAAGGGAGTACATTCTCCCTTTCACTTGAATGGAGCAAATGCTGGAGCCATCTGTTATCCTGAAGAACAGTCTAAGGTAGCAAGCTGCGATTTGTCAGCTAACCCCTGAAAAGGCTGGCTTCATCATTTTTATGGCTTCACCATAGGTGCAACTTATTTAACAGCACTAGGGGCTAAGTGGCTTATTCTTTTATTTAATTTTCACAACAGACATATGGTATATATAATGAGGAAAAAGACTCAGATTGAGTAACTCATCTTCCAGTAAGCAATTGGAAGAACTAAGGTTCAACCATAATTCTGACTTCAGCTGTTATTAATTGTTAAGCAATAGGCAGAGATGAAAGGGCAGGTCCTTGTTTCTAGTGGTGTCAGGAGGGAACAAAAGATGTTTTCATCATGAAGAACAAAGTATCTCGTTTCAGTCATTCCAGGTTGGACATTTCAGCTAGTGTGGGTCTGAGATCCAGTGGCAGATTCACAAGCTGATGTTTCCTGATAAAAGGCATACAATTGGTAGTCTTTCTACTCCAGCAGAAGCCATCATAACTGCTTAACAGATGTTTTGTCATATTGGATTTATATCTTGTCTTCTCTGCTTGATTTTTTGGATGCCTGTTAATTCAAGGTGCTATTCTAGGCAGACAGAAATTCCTTTCTTAGGCTTTCAACCCAGTAGAATATTTCTACTACTATATGTAAGTACTTTTATAATAAAATGAACCAGGTGTGGTGTCACAAACTTATAATCCCAGCTCTCCAGAGGTTGATGCAGGAGAGTCATGAGTCCAAGGCCAGCCTGGACTATATACTGTATAGCAACACACACACACACACACACACACACACACACACACACACACACACACACACACACACACACACAAACACACACACACACACACACTGACTATAGCCTGTTTCAAGAAATGAACAACAAAAAAAGATAATATAGTTGGCCACTAAGCGATTGAAAGGGCATGTACCTTTTTATAAGTTGAAATGTCTATAAGCTTAGCATTAGAAATCAAAGAATTGTACATAACAAAAGGGATGTCATGTGAAACATTGAGAATAGAGAACATATTCATGTTGAGAAGGAATTTTTATTATAACTAAGAAATGCTTATTATAGAGAAACGTGAAAAACCCTAAGAAAGTCTTTTTGGATGATGTATTTTGATTCTTATGACTGTTTCCTCACTAGCATGATGAAACAAGGGATCACGTTGAAGTGTGTCCTGATGCCGGAGTTATCATTCAGGAACTTTGTGAACGCATTGCACTCACCGGAGGTGCTGCACTGATCGCAGATTATGGTCATGATGGGACAAAGACGGATACCTTCAGGGTACGTGTAGACCAGTAACACAATCGATCAGCTCATTAGATTTCAAGCTCATTGAAGAGCTTTCTTTTTGGTTTTTACAGTGCTTAGCATTATTGTATATTTTATTATTAATTCATGTTGTCATAATACGTATAGACCAGTAACATGATTGATCAGCTCATTAGATTTCAAGCTCAATGAAGAGCTTTGTTCTTGGTTTTTACAGTGCTTAGCATTGTATATTTTAATTTATTATTAATTCATGTTGTCATAATTAACCTGAACCCTCCATCTGGCTCCTAGAGCCAGTATCCAACTGTCTGTGGAACAGGGTGTGAATTACTTAAGTACTTCTTTAGCTGCAGAACCTCGTAAGCATCCGAGTAATAACAAATGGAAAGATTTTCTTGTGGTTCTTTTGTTTTGTTGCCCTGCCTTCATTTAACACATTCCCACAGGCATGAGCCATCAGAGTTAATATGTGACATTCCCATCGGGCTGCTTGTACCACTGCTGGTAACAAATGGACCTGGTCATTTTTATTGGTCTTTTCACTAATAAAATTAAATTGGAGCTGCCCAGCAGTGAGAGATACGAATTCACTCAGAGCCACCTGGCGGCGAGACATGAAATTAAGGCCCTGTCATGAATGTTTAAAATATTTTTGGTACTAGGCAGATTCAAACTATCATATTTTTAACATATCTTTTTCCTTTTCCATATGTATACCTTTATCAACATCCTTTCTTAATGCTTTTTGAATATGATCAATTCTGTTGAATTTTCTTTTACTGAAATACATTTAACTAGAGCTGTTGGTCATTTTCTGGATCTGTGGTTCTTAATTCTAACAGTATTATTGTCAATACAAATAACTTGGAAGAGTTTGTTAAAAATCTTGACCTCTGACTTCACTTCCAGGATTCTGATCAACACGGTTTGGATAGAGTCTGTTAAACATTCATGTGATTCTAGGTACAGTGGTTGATACACTATATACACCTCCTAGATTCCGATCACCTAAATTCATTGAGAGTAAGATCATCTCTGTTCCATCACCACAAAATTTATGAAAATGTTAAGTAACTTTATGTTAAGGGCAGTATCTTGAGACGCTCCCCACTTTTGCACTTTATATTGGATTTTCCATGTAGCATCTTATTTGCAAAAAGACTACTGCATAGTCCAAACCACAGGTTTAGGCCCTATTTCCTAACAACTGCATGTAAAAATGTACTAATAAGCTAGCATTTCCTTGATTTCAACAAAGATAGCTATAGAAGGGCTTCTTTTTTTTTGTTTAAGGGGTTTTATGGCCACAAGCTTCATGACGTCCTAATTGCCCCCGGAACAGCAGACCTAACGGCTGATGTGGACTTCAGTTATTTGCGCAGGATGGTACAAGGAAAAGTAGCTTCACTGGGCCCAATAGAACAACAGACCTTTTTAAAAAATATGGGTATTGATGTCCGATTGAAGGTAATGGTTTATTTCACTATCACTAAATATTTTAATTTCAAAAATATGAATACTCGGGTCAGACAGCACCTTAGTATTTTGGTCTTTTCAGTAGTATAGGATTTAGAGTAACCTGATAGTGGTAGGCACAGCCAGGTAACTTTCATGAGGGCAGAATTAAGGCTTCCCAGAAGTATCCCTGTTCATTAAAAAATCATGTTCATAGGCATGAACATTATAAGTATTCTTCAACGACACTTAAACTTACTGATTAAACTAGAGATATGTGTTGAGAATGCAGAACCGTAGGTTTGGCTTACAACAAACTAGTTTTTTGTTTTGGTACTGGGGATCAAACTACTGTTTTAATAAGCATCCTATGAACTTTGGGCAGGTAATCAGAATTCACATTCTAAGCATTGCTGTATTTGAATAGTGAGAGTCATTAGTAATGCTGTATTTACCTATGAATTCCTTCTTTTGGTTATTTTTGCTAAGAAATGTTTTCATTTCAGGTTCTTTTTGATAAATCGGATGAGCCATCAGTGAGGCAGCAGTTACTTCAGGGGTATGATATGTTAATGCACCCTCAGAAGATGGGAGAAAGATTTAACTTCTTTGCCTTGCTACCTCACCAGAGACTTCAGGGTAGAAGCCATCACATCAATACATGCCAGTCACAGCCCTCTGCCTCTCCGGTGGCTGGGTTTAGTGAACTGGCTTGGCAGTGATATTTCAGCTTGGAGTTTTTGTCCTTCAGTTTGCCTAAGCAATCAAAATAAAGGGAACACATTTCATACATTTAAGGTAACAAAAGTCCTAACGTATTTTATGTCTTCATAATTAATAAAGATAGCCCATGTTACGTATTATGAAATAAAATCATAGAACTTTTAGAGTTGTAACTAACTCTTGGTATAAGTATGTATTTTCAATTGCTGAGAAATTAAGTTTCCTTTTAATAAAGCTAGTTGTGTTTTATAAAGTACATATAAGTACTGGTTTAATAAAAATAGTGTAAAAGAGGTAGAACAGGATTTGACACAGATATCTCAGATCTTACTAAATGAAAAAGTAGGATGCTGAAATTTCTATGGTTATTCCATTTTTTCTGAAGAAAGGCTACCTTTATATGCTTGCAAGTAATTTCACAGGAACTAATATAAATTTGCAGTTACAATTATTTCAAACTTTCATTTTAAGAAATGAGCCCCTCTAATAATCACCTCAAAGTTAGTGTGCAGTTATAATAAGTTCATTTCTGGGCAGGTAAATAAAATCACTTCTCTTAAATGTACCATTTGTTCCATCTATAAATACTATTTTCAAGATAGTTATGTTACCAAGGTCTAGGAAAGTAACACAATCAAATAAGATTTTATGTGGATTCCCCCTCTCAGAGCCAGGCCAAGATTTTCACATGAAAAGTATGGTGATACAGAAATACATTTTATTATCAAGCTTTTTGAGAATATTTACAAAAAGTGGCATTTAACAAAAAATATAAAAATGTACTGAACAGTGTCATAGATGACTTTGTACATTATCAAATGTTTCTAGCAAACAGTTATTTCTTAGACAAACACAATTTGACTTCAAGACATTTTGTTATCTGGAGTAATTAACTCAACTCCAAATTATATGACAGTGCCTTTACAAAAATTTTTTAAAAATTTCTTAGGCATCAACAAAAAGAGTGCAATTAATTTCATGGCTTGTAAAGTTTAATTATATAAGTTTAGCAAATGAACATTATTCCAGTTAATTTTCACCATATGCAGTAAAACTACAGTAGGTCACCTAGTGAGTCAAAATTACTCCATTTTTGTGCATGTTGATATAGACTTACTCTGGAGAAATTTGGGCAAGTCATCGTCCATCACAAGGAAAATCCATTTATAAAAAGGATTCTCAAAATTAATTTGGTTAAATCTTTGCAACTGTTATGTGAAGACAAATACTGAAATATGTGCAACGTCTCCTAGAGATACAGATACATAATGTAGCATAATGGCCATGAGGGTTCATACTGTGAACTTGGGCAACTAATCTCCTGTGTGTCAATTTCCTTATCTCTAAGATTCATAATGTACTTCCAATGTGACTACTGTGAGGATAAATATGGAAGAACTTAGAACACAGAGGCATTGGGCAATATATTATTCTCATAAGGGTATTTTTTAGTCCTAGATGAATAGCTTTAAAGATCTCTGAAGGCCTTCTTGGTCTGTTCACATATAAGAACATACTTTTTCCTTTGCTCTCCCAAATTCAGTGGACAAATTAACACTTTTATACTTTTACTATTATTAAATACTATTATTAAATATATTCATACATAACTCATCTCTGACCACACTTTGACGAAGGTTGTGGCAAGAATTATGATCTTTGGGCCAGGTATTCAGCTTAGTGGTGCTGTGCCTGCCTCACAAGTGCAAAGTCCTGAGTTCAATCCCTGGTACCGAAGGGGGAAAAAGAATTATGATCTTCATTTCATAGACTGAGGAATTAAAATCTCACATTTGCTCAGACCAACAGAGCTAATAAACAGTGGAACTGAAATACTTAAATCCAGATTTTCTGACTCTTAAATTTTTTCTTTTACTTAAGAGTGGAGTAGGAAAAAACAAAAACAAACAGGTTCATACTGATTACTGATCCTAGATCTTAAACATTTTCTGGGGGGGAATACAAATTGAGCATCCCTAATGTAAAAAACTGAAAGCACTACCATTTAAAAAAAGTTTTGGATTTTAGAGCATTTCAGAGTTACAGATGTATGTAAATATTCCAATATCTGAAAAATCTGAAACACTTCTGGTCCCAAGCATTTCAGATAAGGAATATTCAACCTATAGTATTTTTAAAACAGTTCGATGCTGGAGCTGATATGTAAAAAGTTCTTAACCACTATTTAATTTGCTATATTGATAATACAGTTCCATGTCTACCTCTAATCTACTCCCCCAAACTGCTTAAAATTAAATAATTTAAAAACATTATAAAGATACTGTAAAGCCCTCCAATAGGCTAAGGGAAAAAAAAGATAACACTCTACTTCAGAGTGAGGAGAATGAACTGACCCTTCATTGGCCTTCCTTTTAATATATAATTTTTGATCACAAATTATTTATTCCTAGGTAAAAATAAACTAACTGAAGTTCAGATATGTATGCATCAGGGTACAGTGTGGCATCGGGATAGTGTTCAAATGGGAACATGAATGTTTAGCATGGCTGAGCTACGAGAAGGCACACATAACTGTTCAGCACTTAGGAACAGTTCCTACAGTACTCTGTGTTTTGGTAATACCAGTCGTCTTTATTGAGGTTACAACATACAAAAGGTGATAATTTAATTTTTTATGCTGTAGAGAACATACTAAAGAGTTGCAGTTCCAATAAAAGACAGTCCAGTGCTCCTCTTGTATGCATCTAGGAAAAACTTAAATGTCTTGGTGGTCAGTTAGACAAATCACTCAAAAGTACTTTTGTAAATCATGTACTGTTAACCTCACAGTTAATGCTAAATGCAGTAACTGGATGCTAGCTTGCCTTTTTAAAAAATGATACAAGATTAGGAAAGGGAAGATAAATTAAATGACATTATTGTATTTAAAAGTGAAGGATTAAGAAAAAATACAAAATCAGTTACTGCTTATGCTACAAATTTTATAAAAAGCTTCACCTTAATTCCTTTGTGTGTTTATTACTCAGTTCCCTTCCTGTACCTACTCATGAACTACAGTATTGGTGTCACCAATGCCTTATATTTCCTCATGTCTTTGCATCCTTGCAGATGTCAACCTACAAGGAGCGACAGTTATGCAGCAAAATATTAGTCCTTATGAAACTTACTGAAGTTAGTTCATTGATAATTAAGGATCTTCTTCCATGTCATCTGGATTGGGAGCCATAATGAAGTGCTGTGGGTATACCAGGTTATGTGTGTATGCATGGATTTCCCAGCGAGCATCATCACTTTCATGTGTAATGTAACGTTCCCCGATGCGAGTTTCAAACTCTCTCAGGTCAAGCCATGTCTGATAGTCCTAGGAAAAAAATGAAATGATTTTGAACTATACAGTAAAACACTGGCAGCCTTTTTTTCTCACTTAGCACACTAGTCATAATTAATAACCCCTACTTATAAGTTTTTGCTACACAAGTTCTAACTGTAATATTTTAAGTTAGCCATGCTGAAGGTAGTTTTTCAAATCCAGGATCTCTAACGAATATAAATAGTTTATGAAATTAAGACAAAAAAAAAACATTTTGTTCTGTATTGTTGAGAACCCAAACCTTAGTTAATGCTACCCTCTACCCCTCACTCCCTTTAAAATAGTTGTAAGATTTCTCTCCTTCCTCTGAAGCATTGAGTTTTGTGTGTTGGCTTTTAAAATTTATTAGTACATGTGTGCCATACATAATGACTACTTTCGCTGTGCATTTGGTACATGTACATGACACATTTTAATTCTTTTCAATACCCCTCACTTTTTTACTTCTCTTTATCTTGTGGTCCCCTTTCCATTGCAAAGATCTAACACCTTGTTTCCTCTTATCTTTTACTTTGCTCTTTATAGTCTGGATTTCTCATATGAGAAAAACGATACAGTTTTTAAGCTTATGCATCTGTTTTATTTCAATTAACATTGTGTTTTCAAGGTGCATCCACTTTGACAGATCTATGCAATAACTTTTGGTAGAACCATGCCAAACACAATGTTAGACTGTATATGGGGGCAGGGGGAGGAATTTTTTCAATGCAAAAATAAACCTTTCAGTGCACATTTAAAATAAAACATAGTGGACAAAATTGTATGTCCTGTTAATCTTACAAAAAAAAAAAGAAATCAATACATAAAACCCTAATGAAGACTAAGTCACTGCTTTCAATTCATGAGGGTATTTAATTGCCTATCAATGGTGATTTGAATGATACACAACTTCTGGAGATGCAGCCATATAAATCAGTGAACTGCTTATGTAAGGATCAGCAGAAATTTTTGTTACCTGTAGCCAAGGATGGCTAAGAGATTTGTCAACACTGTAACGTTTCCTCATCTTCACTTGAAGCAGGTTGTTTATCAAGTCAATTGCTAAGGGAAAATACAAAATTAGATACATAAATTCAGGTGTGTAAAGTACCCCAAACCTGTGGCTGTGCCCAGTATCTGCTTAGGAGAAATGAAGCATTGAGGAAATGCTGCCTTTCAAGTTTGTGGATTTTCTACGTGTAAAGTGATCCACACTTAATGAATTAAGGATGCTTGTAAAATTTCCATTTTATTAAGAAGGCTATACAGAATATAGGTTCAGAATACACATTTTGAAGCCATACTACCTGGACTAATACATACCATATCATATTTATTAGTGGTGCAATATGGGACCAGTTACTAAACTATGTTGTGCTTTGGTTTCCTTATCTGCAAAAATGGAATTGTTGAGAAAATCAACTTAACTGTGCAAAAGACTTAGAACAGTCCTTAGCATCTAAGTGCTAAGTATTAACTTATTCTTTCAAGATGAGTAAAACAGATTGATAGTGGGCTTATTTATTTCTTGCGATGACACCATGTTGCTCTCTATTCCCAGCGTAGTCTAGAAGAGCAGCCAAAGCTATTGCCTTGCATCTACAGATATAGGTGCAATGAAGTGATAACTTATTACCAAAAGTTCACACGCTACAGGTTTTAATAGATAGGTTCAAGATGTTTTGGTGTAAATGGTGAGAACTTGTCATACAGTTTTAGTTACTTATTTGGAGAAATGGGTCAACTGCAAAACCAAGGCAACTGTAAAAGTACATACTGACCACAGCCCTCATAATGATATAAAGCAGCATGGATATGAAAGTGTAAGCCTGCGATAGCAAACCTCTGAGAGACTGGCCAAACTGCATCCCAAAACCCACTTGTTGCAAAGTACCAACAATGCAATTAAACCTGAATACTGAGGATTTCCTTTAGAAAGAAAACCAACTCATACACTTGGCTTGAGTGCTGACAGTGAGGGCTGTTGTGTGCCTGCTGTGGCACATGTGCCTTAGGACTGCCACCCCCGGCCTCGGCCCAGACAGGCCAAATGAAAGTCATACTGTACTAATTCTATTTCTCTATTATATATCATCAAATTAGCAAAGACCTTCTATAAATACATTTAAATTATGAATTTCTGTCCCAAATACTACAAAGTATCTGTTCTGTAAACTGTAGTTCACTATTTGTATCATTTCAGGTATTTAAAATGTACATTCCTGAGATATTCCAACTGGTTAATCTAAATCTGGGGGATATGCCGAACGGTTTTTCTTCTAAAGTGATTCTCATACAAGAGTTACATGCCACACTGCCCTAGGAGCTCCGAGGTGACTTTGATAACATTAAAAAAAAAAAAAAAAGCCAGGATTTAGCGCAGTGGTGCCACACCTGCCTTGCAAGTGCAAGGTCCCAAGTTTGAGCCCTGGTTCAGGGGGATGGGGGCTTCCTGTGAACTTAAGTTTTGTCTATTACCATGTGAATCTGGCTACTGTCACGATAATTTTGTTCCTCAAACTTCCCTCAACTTATTGGAGTATTTGTCAGCCCTTATAATTAGGTCCAGTACTTTGGGGTGTGGGCAGGGGGACCCTACCTGTTCCCAATTTGCTAAATCCAGGTAAAGAAAGGTATTTCCCAACATAGCTTCTATTAAGTTCCAGGGCACTGTTAAATGTTTTAAGTGGTACACTCTGTTTTAGTGCAGCAGCCTAAAGAGCACCAGCCAATTCATTTTTGATGGGTATAGAGCCAGGGGTTACAAACTCAAGACTTTCTAGGCAGGAAAAACAATGTATAAAACTTTGCAACACAGGTCCATATGAGGACTGACACAAAATGAACTGTCTATTCAATATAAAGCTCATTCTATGTATACAGAACCTAAGCGATAGGTCTTCATTTAAGGAGCTTACAGACCATTATCAAAACAGTAGTTAAGAAAAAAAGTCCTAGTGAGTTTAAATAATCTTGCAGTTTCAAGAGGGGGCAGCAGGGAGAACTCATGGTGATTCACAAGTCAAAGGGCCCTAGAGGGACTAGAACTACAATAGTGAGTACTGCAACATGGCTTTTGGGAAGCTGAGCTGGCGTGATGGTATACATCTAAGATTTCAGCATTCTGGGAGCTGAGACAGGAAGACCACAGGTTTAAGCCCAGCCTGGGCAACTTAAGACCGTGTCTTAAAAAAGGGCTGGGGATGTAGTTCAGTATGAAGACGCTGGGTCCAATCTTCAGTACCATGGTGTGTGTGTGTGTGTGTGTGTGTGTGTGTGAATGTATTAAGATGAAAGTAATGCTTCCTGAAGATAATTTCACAGCAGTGACTGGGAAGAACCAGAAAAAGTTAATGCAGTGGTGGTGAATCTAGAGCATGCGTGCTACAATGTGTCTGTATCACTGGAAGCTCTAAAAGGTTTGCCATCCCTGGAACAGATAGGATAATTAAAAAGATACTTTAGTATTTTCAGAGTGAGGCTGTTGGGGCCTGGATTACTATTAAGTCTGGGAATTACAAAAATAGTGTAAAAGAAATTCGTAACTAAATAGGGAAGTCAGATGAGACAGGCTGAGATTACAAAGATTTTTTTAGACTAAAGGACACAGAGTCAAAATTAATTTATTTTTTTACCTTCACTAGAAATTTCTCTCCATGGATTTGGTGGGTACATAAATGCAGCGTTTTGGATTTGGTCATTTATATCTTCATCCTCATTGAATGGAAATGTACCACTGAGGCTCACATAGATGATGACTCCCACTGACCACATATCTAGAGAACGGTTGTAACCTTTACTCCTGAGAACTTCAGGGGCTAAGTATGCTGGAGTTCCTACTACTGATCTCCGGAATGACTTCTCACCAATAATGCGTGCAAATCCAAAGTCACACAGCTTCACCTGGAAGTCAAGGGTGATGTTAATTTTACATATGTAACTACATATAAAGCAGATCTCTCAATGTGGTATCGGATCATTTCAATGTTCTTGCCAATTGTTTTGACTATGAATACTAAACAAATGTAGATAAGGAACTTGAAATACCCTTATTCCAAACAGGATATATTGTCAGCTCTGTGACACTAACAGGATAAAGAGCTTTCCTAATGTTCTTTAAAAAAAACAAAAACAAAAAACAAAACTTCTGTATTCTGTCCAACTACCAGACTGATATTTCAAGGGTTGTTTTGTTTTTTTTAAAGAAAAGGAAGATGGTGATCTTTTCTCATCTGTCTTGTGAGGAGATCACTTTTCTATTATCTATGAGCAAGAACTTTTTATTTCTGAATCCTCAATGGATGTTCAGTGTGTGGACACATGAAAGTACAGTATTCAATAAATGAATGAAAAATTAAGTTACAATCTTTAGAAACAACCTTTATTTTGCTTAATCCTAGAATTTCTTCCCAAGGACGCTATATATTGGCAAGTAAATAAAACTGAGTTGTATTAGACATAACTGTTAATGTAAACAGAAGAGAAATGCTTGAGACTGTTATAAGGAGTAAGGATTTTCTATTTCTGTGAGACAAATTATTGGTAGTTAAATGCTAAGATTTGAAAAAAGCTGTGAAGGTAGCCCCAGTGTCATCTATGTCCTCTGAGGAAGAGAGTTCTGGAAGTGTAAGGAGCTCAGAACACTTACCTTACTGCCTTTTTGTAGAGCTTCAAGGGGTTTTGGTGATTAATAACTGCATTTATGCTGAAGAAGCAAAAGCTAAGTACTTTCCTGAAGAAATGTTCTGACTCACAGAATACTTCAAGAAAAGCATTAAGTTCACAGAAAAGGGACTGGACTTCTAGAAAAAGTGGTACGAGTAACTACCTGGGAACAAAGAAGTGTGTCATGCTGCTTGCTATTTCTGGGATATGCATTCTGACATAATTTTTATGAAAGATATTTGCTATGTGTCATTACTGAATTTGCTGCTTCTCTATTTGAATAAAGAGTAGGAGTACAGACTCTGGGAAGGCGGCAGAACCACTGAGCTAAATCCCCAGCCCAGGAGTACAGACTCTGAAGAAATATTCTTTCCCTCTCATTAAATGGCTAACATCTTGATAAAGATGACTGAGCATTTTGGCAACTGAATAAAGAAGTATAGTTTGAATTAGCAGCTAGAAAGATTATCAAGTAAATAACATTCCCCCCACCCTTGCTCCTATTGGGAACAGTGTGGATCACAAAAAATAAGAGAAGAAGAAGTTGGGATTTTTAGCTTTAGCCATAAGGTGTACATCCTTTGTCTATGCTATTTTGAAGATCAAATGTGATGACTTATAAACAGTTTATTTAAAACATTGCACCAACTATTAGGGGAGCTTTTCAAACCTCACAATGATAAGGAATCACATTAGCCACATACACTTTAAGAACATGATTAATATTTTAAAAGTGAAAGAGTGGAATGATTAAAAAAAAATTTTTTTTTTCAGGTGTGATAGCACACCATCTATAATCCCAGTTACTTGAGGCAAGAGGATCCCAAGTTTGAGGCTAGGCTGGACAACTTGGACCCTGGTCTCAAAATAAAATATTAAAAAGACTAAGAACATAGCCCAGTGATATAGTGTCCCTGGCTTTGATTCCTGGTACTGCAAAAATAAGCAAAACAAAATAAAAAACAGTACAGTTGTTTTAAAATTGAGTTATCTATTTAGCAGGTTATGAAATAAATTTAGTTGATCAAGATCAGCATGTTTTAAAAAAATAAAACTCAAATGAATTAAAAAAAATCAGAGTACATCACACATAGCCAGAACATACATGCAATACTGTCATAACAATGTGAGCATTTCTGGTGATGGGAGATGTAATTCTTATGTCGCTTGTGAAAATGTTTGAAATATACTGCCCTAAAGAAAAATTGGCTGGTTGCCTGTCTCAGTAAGTCTTACCTTCCATTTTAGGGAACATCTCCCGGTTTGTTTTAATTTATGAGGAACTTAATCTGAGTACCACTTAGCACTAAGACTGCTTCTCCCACTTCATTCCCAACAGGAGGGGAGAAGTAAAGTGCAGTCTGATGTGCAAGGAGTTATCCCTTTGTATGTCTGGAAAAGTCTTAGTGAACATAAGCGAAACGATTAATAAAAGAATTTAACTTAGTTAATCCTCATTGGCAGTTACAGACTAAAACTTTATTTTTGTATGATGGGAGGATGTATTCTGCACCTTAGTACCTTTCATTGTGTGGGCACTTTGTAAATGCTGCAGATACATAAAGTGCTTCTTCAGCAGGCTCTGGAGAATATCTCACCTGAGGGAATGGCTCTGCTGATGCAAGCAGCACATTTTCTGGCTTTAAATCACAGTGCACAATATTCTTAAAATGTAGATTCCTCAAAGCGACAAGTATCTGTAATTAAAGAACAAAAATTTTTTTTTTCAATGTCTGGAAAACCAGTTAAACCCCAGAGTTACTCTTTGAATGGTGTAACAATTTGAAAATCTCAATATACTTCATCAAAGTTTTTACTTACAAATGTTATTTTGTTTTTCAATGTCAACAATTCCCATGATCTCTTAATATGTAAAAGCACTGCAATTTAATTCTCTTAGTTTTTAATTATTCTCTGGTTTCAGAAAGGAGTTAAAATACCTGTGTGACCATAAACTTAGTAATTCGTTCTGGAAGCCGACTTTTCTCACTAGATAGAATCATTTCCAACATATCTCCATGTAGTTTTTCCATTACCACAAAGACTCGCTCTGGAGTTTCAAACATACATTCCAGGTTTACAATCCCAGGATGGTGCAAATTCTGGAGAAGTCGGAGGACAGTTAAATGACCAACAAGTAGAGAAACAGTTTTAATACACAGATATCCAGCATGCTGTAATAAAGTGTATGAAATACATGTTATAAAAATAAAAGTTTTAGAAAAACAAACAAAAAAGCCAATAAAAAAGGATCAAAGATTCTGGTTTTCCAAGTTGTGCACTGACTGGAAAATGGATGCACTGAAGGGCAAGAATGTCCTCCTTTCTATTTTTTCTGTGTATATGATCATCAGTCTATGTTTTTATGTTTTTTTTTTAACTTTTTTGATTAAACTGACTAAAAAAATAAAATTATACCACCACACCAATCCAGAGAGAACCAGCTTCTGGGTTTAGTGTATTCTTTTATTAATTTTCTTTTTATTTTTGTTACTTTCCTTTCCCTATATTTATTGTATTGTTCATTCTTTTAATTTTTGAGTTGTATTCTTAAAGTCATTTATTTTTATTCTTTCCTGCTTGATATTTGAGGTGATAAATCTCTCTGAAATATAGTCCAAAGGCTCTAATAGATATACAATATTTTCGTGATTATTTTCTAAAGATCTTAAATTTTGATTTTGCTCTGATTCAAAAATAAAGATAATTTTTAAAGTTTTCAGATAGTGGCAGCTTTGTTTTCCACTTTTGTAAATGATGTTGGCATTTATTTATTTATTTATTTATTTATTTATTATTTTTATTTATTTATTTATTTATTTATTTAGTTAGTTAGTTAGTTAGTTAGTTAGTTTTTTGAGACAGGGTCTCACTATGTAGTTGAGACTGACCAGAAACTCACTATGTAGCCCAGGCTGGTCTTCAATTCACAGTGATCCTCCCTGCCTCAGCCTCCTGAGTGCTGGGATTACAGGCGTGCGCCACCACACCTGGCTGATGTTGGCTTTTATTACATTAAGATCAAGGAATACTATTTATCTTGCTTTTTTAGTTAGTGGGGGGTTGTTTTTAGGATACATTGTTCTGTATGCAGTAGCTAGGTAGACCTTATCTGTTTAGCCTCTGTACTTAATTTTGTCTGCTCCATCTGGTATGGGCTACTAATAGTCTTGTGTGTTTCTTCTCATGTTTTTCTAACTTTCCTTTATAAAGCTGATGCTATTTATTTGTTACAGTGTGATTTATAGTCTTCTACTGGGAATTGCCCTTCATTTCATGTTTTCCCTTTCTTGTCTGATCATGACTTTCTTGGCTTTCCTTTGTTTGGGAAAGGAACCTTGGGAGGACATTAAAGTTCTACAGGTTTCAGAACCAGCAAAACAACTTTCATTGTGGCCCATCTTTCTGCCTGTACCCCATATTCATCCACTGTTTTTGGAAAATATTCTATGCAGTTTATATTTATGAATTCTTATTTTTATTAAAGGTATGCTCTTTTATTATTATTCTTGTAGCTCTGGAGTGATTTCTGAGAAGGGGAAATGCTAAATTTATACCACAGTGTTCAAACGTTAAAGTTTCTAAGTTTCTGATAACGTTTCCTCACTTACATACTTAGCTAGGAGAACAACACAGCCTCTACCACTACTCCATGATCCTCTTCAGGCAAGCGACCCAAACACTACGCCACTATGTGCCTACTGAACAAAAGCCCTCCACACCTCATTCTTCCGGTCCTACAATTACTACTGTTACAAAGTTACACAAATAGAATCACTGTATACTTTTTCACTTAACAGTATGTTGTAGACAATCTCACACATCAACATATCATTGAGTATATAGTCCTGCATAGTACTGTGCAGGGAGTCTTGATTCATTAATAAAGAAAACCGACAAAATCCTGTCTTATGATGCTTGTTAATTCTAGCAAGGTGACACAGACAACAGGAAATAAACTAGTGAATTAACAACGGAAAAAGGAAAATCAGAGTACAGGAGTGTGAGGGTGGGTTTAATGCTGAAACTGCAAGGGCTTCAAATTCTGAGGAAATGACATTTGAGGATACAGCTCAGAGATATTTGAGAGAAAGTATACCCAGCATAGGGAGTTCACACAACGCACTTGAGACAGGAGTATGTCTGGCATGTTTGAGAAACAGCAAGAATTCCACGTAGTCATCATTTGGAAGAGATTGAATTTGTTGAATGCAGTGTCTAAAAGGTCTTAGGACCTTTTAAAAGAGATTTTTGTTCTGCTTAATAAACAATAATCACAGGTATCCAAAAGTGGCATATGTTTATTACTATTAACTGACAGAATGCAGAGTTCATCACCAAGTACCCAAGAGGACAGAGTAAACTGTAAGGTTACTTCTAAATTAACGATTCTATGATATTTTTCCCCTCCTTGCTGCTAGAAAGGCCATAGCTGTGGTCTCAATAATATGCTCGTTTATCCTATTCTTTTAAAAATGCGGGCATGAGTCACTGGTGCTTCAGACACCTGCTCAACCTCACTTCTTTTCTGGTGGAGGCCTGGGGAGGGGGTCTCTGAGTGAGAAGCAGAGACCATGTTCCCATGCAAGCTGACAGCTACCACAACCTTGCCGGCTGTAAATGCAAAGATGAAACAGAATTGAGGAACTTAATTGTTTGGACTGAATACCAGAAGACTGAGGACAGGTAAGTTAAGAAACATCCACAGCAGTGACTGCTCAAGTTCCTTGCAGTGTATCTCAGAGATGTTAATTATTCTTTTAAGATTCAGGATGGTCAGAAAGCAGTTGACTAGTTTCATGGTTTAGCTGTTAACTTGAATATGGAGATAATGCTGAAAAATAGAAGAATTTAGCACCTGATAATGCAAAAAATATTGACAACATAATTAAGAATGCAGAGCCATGATCAATTTGGATGTAAATACAGTAATCTTAACTTTAAGTTTGGGGTAATGCTTTGGCTAACCTCCTTCACCTGGTAATGCTTAAGGCAATTTGCATTTTGGTTCTGAAGCACCAACAGAGGATGCAGTTGCTAAAGCAAATCAAACAAGGACTTGCCTGTTGCTTTAGACAAATATTCTTGGTCATGATATAGGAGATGCAGCTCTTAATGAAGTTGCTGAAATTGTGCAATTGCTGCATCCAGAAGAACTCTGAGAGCTGCAGACAAAAATTAATGAGGCCACAGTATTACAGACAGCTAAGTAAGGTAAAACATTGGCAGTCACTCAGGGCCAAGCCCTCTGAGTTAAGACAAAAGGTGAAAACACACTGCAACCACAGCCAGAGAGACATCACTTGGGAGCCAAGCCTCAATAAAAACCACAAAAGGGGACCAGGGATTTAGCTCAGTGGTTCTGCCGCCTGCCTTGCAGGTGCAAGGTCCCGAGATCGATCTCCAGTACCAAAAAACAAACAAACAAAACCCCTAACCAAACAAAACAAACCACAAAAGGACCAGGCCTACAAACCCAATGGATACCTGGTCTAGTAAAGTCTAGAGAGGAATCAATCACCTCAGTAGGTGATTAAGACCCCTAGATCCATCACCATGCTGAGAAGTTGTTTTTTCTTTCCATCTACTCTTGCTACATGACTTGCTTCTCCGTTGAGCACTATTACTTAAGCAACTATAACTGTAACCTTATGGTTAATCATAGCTTTAATCCATGTTGTACCCACGTGATTTTTGCTCTATAAAAACTTCCCTGTAAAGTGGGATCCGTGCTAATGAATTGGGACTCCCCTGCCTCTCAGGTGCTATCCTTTGAATAAATGTTTTCCTACTTATAACCTCTGTTGTTCCCAGAATTCCTTCTTCAATTTTATGGTATACAAACTCGGCATATGAGACATCTAACAGGTTGGGAGTTTTGATATTTCCCTTGTATCATTTGGAGATCCTATTTCATCTCCTATAACAACGGTAGCTCTTCAGACAATTATTGCTGATCCAAAGACAGAAAACAGACCGGGGAAACTGGAAGACAAACACTTCAGATTTCAGTTTCTTACCTACTTAGTGCAAATGGGGCATAGGTAACTTCTAGCACATATTTGGAAATCAGTTTTCACTTTTGAGAGGGGAATCCCAGAAAACTGACTGTTCAAGAGATTTACCACAACCATTGTTTTTTTTTTAAGTAAAAGTTTAAGTGGAAAAAAAAATGTGGGTATGGGAAAGACAAGATATGGATGCCCCTGGTGCTGCAGGTGAAGATAATAATAGCACCAGGATCAGCCACAGGAATTCAGCCAGCCTTTTAGGTTTATTTGATGATGACCACAAATAAGAACATCACAGGGCAAAGAGAAAAGTAAAGATGATACATTTGGAGGGGGAACAGAAAGCCAAAAGGTGCTGTGAGTGTAAAAGTATAGCAGGTGCCCTTCAGTCCATGTGAAAAGTCTACCTGGAATCTCATATGACTAAATCTTGGGGAACTAATTTCAGTAAATGAGGTGAACTGCAAAACTTCAAATACATCTAAAAGTGTATTTATTGTGTGAATTTGGACAGTTACAAGATTATAGTATTTCCATACAAATTAGGGTAGAAGTTCATTTTTATATTCTAGAGATTTTGTTGAGTTTAAACATTGCTGAAGAATACCTGAGTCACAATTTTACATATGCACAAAGGCAGAACAGGCCCAATAAGTAACAAAGAGTGAGCATGTAGTTTGGAGACAGATTCAGAAGCTGAACCTGCATTGTTCCCGCTGGGTAGTGTTAAGAAAAAGTAGGTAAGTACAGATTCTAGCACAAAGTAAACCATTTACTAAATAAACAATTTGTTTATGTAACAATTTGAAGAGAATCTACAACAAAGAATACTATATTAAATTTAGTAGGAAAATAGTATATTTAGAGACATACTACAATCATTTAATTTTATTTCCAGTTTGGCAATATTGATGAAAATAACCATAAGGATACAACTGTTTTTCACACTGCATTCACTGAAAATTCCTAAATTTAGTTATGAGCTACAATTAATATACAGAAGAAAGTGCTTCAGAACTTAGTCCAGAATTTGGCATCAAAGTAGCAAGGAGAAATCAATGCTTAGAAATATATTCTTAATTTTTTTTGCATATTAGTTGTACAATAAGATTCTAAAATTTAAAATGCAGAAGTATTTTAACAATACATTCTCAGAATGTAATGCCACTGATATCCTATTTAAGTTTAGCTTTATAGGAGGAAGCAGGCCTGATGTGAACTTAGGTACCTACAGACCACACATTTTTTACCACAAACAGTTATAACTGGTGATTAATAATGTAATAAATGTAATATAACTCACTTTTAAAGATTTGCTTTTCTTTAATGAACCATAAGTTCAGTAGGCCATGTCTTTTCTTTTTAATTTAATTTTTTTTCATTTTTTGAGACAGGGTCTCACTATGTAGTTGAGACTAACTTGGAACTCACTATGTAGTCCAGGCTGGTCTCGAACTCACAGCGATTCTCCTGCCTCAGCCTCCCGAGTGCTGGGATTACAGGTGTGCGCCACCACCCAGCAAGGCCATGTCTTCTTGAATTTCAGTCACAAGTAAATGGGAGTCTGACAGGACTATTATATGTCCCTGATTTCTTACCAACATGCAGAAGTTACACAATGAATTAACACTTCTGCATATTGTCAATATTTACATGATATTCAGACAAAAGATTTAAGAATCAAGCTAACTTTTAGTTAACTAGATGACCCCCAATAGAGGTAAAAATGTTAGATGAAAGCAAAATACATAAATTTATTCTGTGGGATTTAAGTAATTGCTAATATTTCTTTAAAATATACCTTAATGGACTAAACCATTACAAAATTATAGTTTTTGAATGAATTAAAAATGCTACATGTAGAAAGGCATATTGTTCTTCAGTCTTTATAATAACTGCTATAACACACGGTCAGTGAGAAATGGATGTGTGTAATAATGATGAAATGTAGAAGTATTCTGAACTAGTGAATTAAGAATGAAATTTTACTGTTTTTTCAACAGAGTACTTATAAAACTATTCTAAATAAATTATTTCTATAGCAGAATAGTGGCAGTTCTTACCGCCTACATTATTATAATCTCAAAAAAGGGAATTACATAGTTAATTCAGATTTTTACCCAGTTCCTTCTTAGCCAAATTACAAGAAGAAAACAAAAACCAAATCTATTCTTACTGCACACAAAATAGACTCAGAGTCAAAAACTGATAAAAATATAAATTAAAGCCTACACAACTTTTTTTTTTTTTTTTT